TTTACATGGTTATGTGAAAGGGATTGTGGTACAATTTATTGTATTTATGTATATAACAAAGTTTATTTCTGTGTATATGAAATATGAGATTTATTTTCAAACCTCATTAAAGGTGGTTGCTACTCATGGGTCTTTGAACTCATCCAAATATTTAACATTTTTCAGGTGAGGATAAGGAGGAGGAATAAGTCCTAGGATAGACAAGGGATTAGAAGAATCAAAGATTTATTTTATTGTAGGTCTTCAGGAATAAATATTTTTTTATAGTTTTGAGACAAGTATTCGATTGTTTTGAGAACAATGTTGTTTTTGCTTAGAGTAGTGAACCTTATGGATTAATTATTGTTTTACATGCGTTTAGTAATAATGTCGGTGATGTTAGTTTATTTCTCTGGTATTTATTAAATCGGTGAAAATGATCACTTTATTATTTGTCTTCCGCTGTATTTTGCAATAATTATGCATTGGGATGGTTGGTTAAGGCCTTGGTGGCTGATTCGCTGCTCACCCTATGTGATCCGGGGTGGGGTGTGACATAAAAGGTTTCAATAGAGCTGGAAATCAGGCTTACAATCTTGCTGTCAATGAATTTGCAGACTTAAGTAATGAAGAATTCATTGCCTCTCATACTGGCAACTTGATTCAATCGTATCAAATATCGCCTAAATCGCCTTTTAGGTATTAAAATGTGAGGGCAGTGCCACCTAGTATGGATTGGAGAAGGAGAGGAGCTGTCACTCTCGTGAAGAGCCAACGTCAATGTGGTAAGATAAATGATCTGAGCACGACTCAGTTTTATCTCGTTGAGACTCAATCAACTTATAAAGTTAATAAGATTAATTGTGATTCGACTTTTATATTAGTTTTGTAAATTAGTCGAATCCTACCAACTTATGAGTAGGTTTGGCTCGACTTGAATAGCTTCATCTCTATAAGTAACTCTAATGTTAATTTTCAAATAATCCCCTGGATTGTATCACTATATAGCTCCAAACCATGGCTAATTCTCCATCCCACTCTTCTCCAACAGGTTTTTTAAAAACATTGACCTTCTATAGTACTTGATTTAAAATTTATTACACATTGTTTGGGTAACTTTTGTTGAGAAAGAGACCATTTGGACTGATTTTTAAGCTCTAATTTCTAATATTTGGAATTTTTTGACAAAAAATTAAATTTTAGTTCCGACTCAATGAAAGAAAGTTTTTATCGAGCCAAGCTTTTGAGAACAAATCTAAGCTTGGCAATTTAGCTAGCTCAAGAGACATAATTTTAATAGTCGGAACAGTAACAAAGAAAATGACTCCTTTTTAGAGAGATTATAAGGTTAATAGTACTTTTAGCTCTTAAAGTATGTGCGTTTTGTTAGTTTAGTCATTAATGTATTAATTTTGTCAATTTGGTCCTTAAAGTATTTAATTTGTGTCATTTTAGTTTTCACACAGACGGACTGTTAAGTTTTTGACAAAATAATCAAGTGTTGGGCACGCGATATTGTCTAAAAAAATGACATGTAGACACTTCCGTCAAAAAACTTAACAGTCTATCTATGTTGGGATCAAAATGACACGAATTAAATATTATAATGACTAAATTGAAAAAATAATATTTTGAGAACTAAACTGACAAAAAATATATATTTTAGGGACCAAAAGTGTTATTAACCCGAGATTATATGAGCAAATGTTATTGCTATGAGAGCATGTACGGGGATGTTCAGTAACAATTCTTATAGTACTCTTCGGGGAGTCGATAAAATAAACCTAACTAAGCTCGACTCAATTACCACCCTAAATTGAGAACCTATACATCCGACTTCCATTGTCAATTTCTTGTCACTTATTCACTCTCTTCTCTAAAATTTCGTTTGGTATGATGGAAAAATAGAAGGATGAAAAATTGGAAAGAAAATAGGAAATATGAAAAAGTAGATGTATAAACTTTTCTTCCAACTCACCAAAATCAAGCCCTCCAAAATTAGAAGAAAAGTGGATGCAAAATTAATTATTTGTATTGAAATGTATCTTATTTGTTTATATTTTTTTTGGGGATAGGGAGGCCCATTGGTATATATATATATATATATATATATATATATATATATATATATATATATATATATATATATATATATATATATATATATATATATATTATATTATATTTATCAATTATATATTATGTATACATTAATTTTATATATAAATACAATGGTAAAATATGTATTTTTATATATTTTTTTAAATTAAAATAAAATGTAAAAATAAAAAAATTTCATCTTATGCAGGGCAAAAGAAATTAATTATTTTTATTTTTCATCTATCCTATAAAATACAAAAGAAAAAAAGTATATTATTTTTACTTTTCTTCTTTAGATGATAGAAAATATTTCTATCCTACTATCTATCATTCCTATCAAATAGAGTATAAATGATTTTGTGCACAGGATGTTGCTGGATATTTTCAGCTGTGCAGCTATGTAAGGAATTACTCAAAACTAAGCCGGTCATTTGATTTGGTTGTCTGAGCAACATATCCTTGACTGTGATGGTATTCAAAATGGCTGTTACGGCAGTTCAGTGTAACATGCTTTCGACTTTGTTATTCAAAACAAAGGCCTCACAACTGAAAAGGCTTACCCCCTACAGAACCACAGAGGCAACTTGCAACTCCAATATGGCGTCGGCCATAGAAGCCAACATCAGAGGCTATGAAAAAGTTCCCTTGAGGCGGCGCTATTAGCAGCTGTGGCCAACCAACCGGTCTCAATTAGAGTCGATCCTAGTCGTTTCCAGTTTTACTTGAGCGCCGTTGTAACTGGTCATTGTGGGACTGAACATAATTCATGCTATCACAGCAATTGGATATGGGACAAGTAAAGATGGTACTAAGTTCTGGATATGCAAAAATTCATGGGGTGCAGAGGTTGGGGAGAGAATGGGTACATTAGATTGCAAAAAGATGTTGCTAACAAGGAATGTATGTGTGGCATTACAATGAATGCCATATATCCTACTGCATAAAGAGCAACTCAGTAAACGAGCCTGTTGTCATTGTGGAGGAGGGCTGGGGGCCAGCCTTATATCCGGCCTATTATGTAACTACCATCAAACTGCAGATGGATGTCCTCCTGGAAATAACTACAGACGCCTTTTTTGGATTTCTCATATCATTCCCTTTGTTTGTTCTCAATTGTTATGAGTATTTCATGATGAGTTTTTTGGCAGGTTATGAAAAAAAAGGCAGTTTGTTGTCGATCACCAGATATTTTTGGGTTCAAATTTGAGGTGCGATAAATGATCGAGTGCTTGGTTCTCTATTAATCAAGTTGTTCAAAAAATAGGAAATAGTCATTACTAGAAAGAGTAATGATATAGTTTTTGAATCTATGGTAATTTTTATGAAAGCATCAATTAGAAAGCATGTCTACAAAACACGATTTAATGTTTTTCATAAGAAGGTGTTTTGCAAACACTTTGACATTGAAAAGCGTGAGGTCAAACATGACCGATTCTCTTTCTTGCTTCATGTTGCGAACTTAAACTTGAATAGGAAATTGTTCAAATTCAGCTTGTTTAGAAAACAAATCAACTCAAAACCAGAGTTCGAGTTAAGCTTTATATAAAAACAAGTTGAATTTTACGAGTTCGAGTTGAGATTTTTATGTCCGTTTTTTAAACGAATTTAAAAAAATGTTCGAACTCGACTAGTTTAACAAGCCCTATACAAGCCGTCAAATAATTTGGTTCGATTATCAACTCTATCTTGGAAGTGCCATTGTTTTGGAATGGGTACAAGTTATTTCAAATGTAAGTCACCTAGATTAGAGCAAGACTGTGTTTTATTTTAAAAATAATCAAGCATGTACTAAAAGACTGTAAAATGATCTAGGAAATTAACCTAAAGACATAAGAATAATCCAAAATACATCAAAAGTGATTTTGTATGAATAACATATTCGACCTTCTAAGGTTACATAAGATGCCGAAATGGTTTTTTTGGTAAAATAAATATTATTGAGAATTTAGTTATACATTACAAATGATAAGTTACAACTATTCACGATAGGTTGTATAGAGTTTTCTATCAAAGGGCTCCGCTAGATTACAAGGCATGGCTCAAAGTTATGATACCAGCCGATGACCATGAAATGCTAGATAGAAAAAATTGGGCATGATGAGATATCGAGGTTGCGATGATGGTATCACGACATCGTGTAATGATGACTCGGATAAATCGAATTTCTCCAAGTCAATCTCAAGTCGAGTGAGACACTTAGTTTTCACGTAACATCTATCGATTTCAGAATAAAATGTGTCTAATTGGAAAGAACTCGGTGAAATCATATCAAAATTAGTCAACACTTTGAATCATTTTATAATCAGAGACTTTGCATTACATTTATGTATGTTTTTCACATTCTAAACTTAAAAACGATTAGGGGATTCTGGCACACCAAACAGCCACAATCAAAACAAAGTTCTTCTTGAACTCAGCTCCAAAAATTAATGCTCTAAGTAACAAGAACGAAAGAATACTAAATTGAGTCATGTTGTTCTTCAGACATATACTAATTTCAGCTAAAGACATAGGAAAATCCAAAAAAATATAGACAAATAATTACATAAGAACAAGAGATTGGACCTTCTCATAGTTATATTAGGATTATAAATAATTGATGTTACTAACTAGCACAGAACAAGTTAATAAGACAAGCTTGGATGTTTTGATTCTGCCTGTCCATTGTAGTACTAATTTGGAAGAAACTAAAAACAATTTTAAGCTTCAATGGCAGCGTTTACGGTACACCACCGGGTTGTCCAAGTCGTTGCAAATTGCCCAGTAAGCCACGGAGTAGAGCCTTTCACTAACAGCACATCTAGATCACCATTCTGAGAACAAAACTTCAATGCACCAGATGCATCTTCTATATAAGCAGATGAGTGTGCTTCCATATTCAGCAGGAAGAAAAATCATAGTTATCGCCATTCAACTAGCACATGATGGCTTCATCACTTGAAACAAAATTCATTGCTGCAGCATTGATAATACTCGGGATGTGGGCTTCTCAGGCTGCATCCCGCACACTACCTGAAGCATCCATCTCGGAGAGACATGAGCAATGGATGGCTCACTATGGACGTGTTTACAAGAACATTGCAGAGAAGGAAAGACGTCTCATGATATTCAAGGAGAACGTGGAGTTCATAGAATCTTTCAACAGCGCTGGGAATCGAAATTACAAGTTGAGCATCAACGAATTTGCAGACCAGACAAATGAGGAGTTTAAGGCTTCTCGCAATGGACTCAAGATGCCATCCAATCGAAAGTCACTGAACACTGCTTCATTTAAGTATGAAAATGTGACTGCAGTACCAACTAGCATGGACTGGAGGAAGAAAGGAGCGGTTACCCCTATTAAGGATCAAGGTCAATGTGGTAAGGAATACCTCTTTTCTCAACTTACTCTGCAAATACCATTTTCAAATACATATAGAGTTTTCATACTTAGGGAAACGGTCTTTCCGTATACGTTGTCAAACTGCCTATATTTGACCATTCCTGGAATTATTCAGTGGCTTTCCATATAATTTTTTCTCACTACTACTCTTTTTATGTNTGACCATGAAATGCTAGATAGAAAAAATTGGGCATGATGAGATATCGAGGTTGCGATGATGGTATCACGACATCGTGTAATGATGACTCGGATAAATCGAATTTCTCCAAGTCAATCTCAAGTCGAGTGAGACACTTAGTTTTCACGTAACATCTATCGATTTCAGAATAAAATGTGTCTAATTGGAAAGAACTCGGTGAAATCATATCAAAATTAGTCAACACTTTGAATCATTTTATAATCAGAGACTTTGCATTACATTTATGTATGTTTTTCACATTCTAAACTTAAAAACGATTAGGGGATTCTGGCACACCAAACAGCCACAATCAAAACAAAGTTCTTCTTGAACTCAGCTCCAAAAATTAATGCTCTAAGTAACAAGAACGAAAGAATACTAAATTGAGTCATGTTGTTCTTCAGACATATACTAATTTCAGCTAAAGACATAGGAAAATCCAAAAAAATATAGACAAATAATTACATAAGAACAAGAGATTGGACCTTCTCATAGTTATATTAGGATTATAAATAATTGATGTTACTAACTAGCACAGAACAAGTTAATAAGACAAGCTTGGATGTTTTGATTCTGCCTGTCCATTGTAGTACTAATTTGGAAGAAACTAAAAACAATTTTAAGCTTCAATGGCAGCGTTTACGGTACACCACCGGGTTGTCCAAGTCGTTGCAAATTGCCCAGTAAGCCACGGAGTAGAGCCTTTCACTAACAGCACATCTAGATCACCATTCTGAGAACAAAACTTCAATGCACCAGATGCATCTTCTATATAAGCAGATGAGTGTGCTTCCATATTCAGCAGGAAGAAAAATCATAGTTATCGCCATTCAACTAGCACATGATGGCTTCATCACTTGAAACAAAATTCATTGCTGCAGCATTGATAATACTCGGGATGTGGGCTTCTCAGGCTGCATCCCGCACACTACCTGAAGCATCCATCTCGGAGAGACATGAGCAATGGATGGCTCACTATGGACGTGTTTACAAGAACATTGCAGAGAAGGAAAGACGTCTCATGATATTCAAGGAGAACGTGGAGTTCATAGAATCTTTCAACAGCGCTGGGAATCGAAATTACAAGTTGAGCAACAACGAATTTGCAGACCAGACAAATGAGGAGTTTAAGGCTTCTCGCAATGGACTCAAGATGCCATCCAATCGAAAGTCACTGAAAACTACTTCATTTAAGTATGAAAATGTAACTGCAGTACCAACTAGCATGGACTGGAGGAAGAAAGGAGCTGTTACCCCTATTAAGGATCAAGGTCAATGTGGTAAGGAATACCTCTTTTCTCAACTTACTCTGCAAATACCATTTTCAAATACATATATAGTTTTCATACTTAGGGAAACGGTCTTTCCGTATACGTTGTCAAACTGCCTATATTTGACCATTCCTGGAATTATTCAGTGGCTTTCCATATAATTTTTTCTCACTACTACTCTTTTTATGTACAGGAAGTTGTTGGGCGTTTTCAACCATAGCAGCCACGGAAGGAATAACCAAACTTACCACTGGTAAATTGATCTCACTGTCCGAGCAGGAGCTAGTGGACTGTGACATAGGCGGTGAAGATGCAGGATGTGAGGGTGGTTTAATGGAAGATGGGTTTGAATTTATTGTGAAGAACAAAGGCATTGCCACCGAATCAACTTATCCATACAAGGCAACTGATGGAACTTGCAACACTAAGGAAGAAGCTTCTCATGCTGCCAAGATCAAGGGTTATGAGAATGTTCCCGCCAACAGTGAGAAGGCTCTATTGAAGGCTGTGGTTAATCAACCAATTTCTGTTTCCATTGATGCAAGTGGAGCTGCGTTCCAATTTTACTCGAGCGGGGTTTTCACAGGAGATTGTGGAACCGATTTAGATCATGGTGTTACGGCAGTTGGGTATGGGACTACTGCTGATGGGACAAAGTATTGGTTAGTGAAGAACTCATGGGGCACCAGTTGGGGAGATGAAGGATACATAATGATGCAAAGGGATGTCAAAGCGAAAGAAGGCCTCTGTGGGATTGCTATGGATTCTTCCTATCCAACAGCTTAGATATCACCATATGATCTGTGAATCTTTATCTGGTATTTACTATGGTCTCAGACAATCTACTTGTGTAAGTTTGTAAGGCTACCTGCAAATTAGCCTTGTAAATGATGCTATGCAGCTGTTATATGTGTATAAATTTATATAATGAAAGTGCATAGAACAGTCTTGTTCATTGCAATTGTTGTTCAAAATTTGCCGGCTATGGGGTTAAACAAAATAAGTTAATCGACACTATTCCCAAACCTGAACGTAGTCCCCTTTCGTGCCCCATCCACTAAACCTCTCCCTCCCCTCGGATCCAAGTCCGCTCTGCCATCTCCTCCCTTTATGGCGAAACCCCTCTGCTACCCCCGGGCACCCCTCCCCTGGTCGCAATCTCATTTTTCCAGCCTTTCTCTGTATGTATTTATGTCTCTATAGAAGTGAGCCCCTCCACCCTTCACCACCCTCAAACGAACAATGAAAGGTGGCAAGGTTTGGTGATGGTGGTTTTGGCGACGGTAGGCATTGAAGATGGGTTTGGGTTTGAGTGGATGGGCGGGGGTGGGGAGAGGTGTTTGCCCCTAAGAGAGTTTTTCTATATATTCTTAGTTTTTAGATTCTCATTGTTTTATATTGTTTTAGTTTCAAATGGTTCTTTCTATAATTTGTGAAACAACGAGGGACACCATGTATGTTCAAGCCATTCCAAAACATGTCATTCACATATCCTCGGAGAATAAGAGTAAAGTAATGACTATAAACACACAACGAAGTAACAAATGAATAAGGCAATGCTGTCAAAGCCCCCTTACTTTGCAAGACTCAGCACTTGAAAGCGAGGATCTTACATGCTGGTCATTTGCTTACACTTTGAAAAATGTTTCTTGAAGTTAAAAAGCTGATTTGATTTATCGATTTGATTAACACAAATATTGAATAGGTGTGGGTCTCAATAAATATTAAAATCAATAACAGTAATTGATTAAATCAGTAAATCAAGTCAGAATTTTAAGTCCATGCAGTATTTGCTCGCTTACTATATCGGCTACCAATAATGTTATCCTGATAAAATTTTGGGGCCAAATTAAAAACTCAAATGACATGACAATATATTATTTAGAGTCTTTATTGAGGCCTAAATGACATGACATCATTTAGGTTCTTAATTTAGTCCTAAAATTTGATCTGCTACATGCATAAGTAGAAGTGATAATCTGAACTCATTATCCATTAACTTGCTCAACCCACTCATAAATTAATAGGTTGTGTATCTATATTAATTAATACGGGTCTTAAATAAGCTGAGTAATAGGACTTATTTTAATTAAGCGAGTTAAGATGAATTACTGAGTACTCATTGAGTTTACTATTTATCTTTTTAGTAAATAACAAAAGTTATAAAATCAAATACATACTAATATACCAAAAAATACATACATACTAATACATCAAAAGATATACACACACTCTAATATATCAAAACACATACACACGCACTCTAGTACACCAAAACACACGCACACACATTAATACACAAAAAAATACACATGTATACCAATATACAAAAAAAAATACACACACTAATACACCAAACACACACAAATATTAGTATATCAAAATATACACACACATACACTAACACACACACACATTAATATACTAAAAAATACACATACACATACACTAATACGCCAAAATATGCACACATATAATAATATACCAAAACACATACACATATTAATACACCAAAAATAAATACAGATACATATTAATACACTAAAACACACACATACACTATACATGGGTTCGAATCGGACCTGGACCTGGACCCCCAACCCGAACTCGGACTAAGACCTGGACCTGACCCCAAACCCAAACTCGGACCTGACCCCGAACCTGAGTGTGTGTAAGTGTGTATTTTGGTGTAGTAGTAGTAGTGTATATATGTGTGTGTGTGTGTGTGTGTGCGTGTGTGTGTGCGTGTTTTATGTGTTAATGTATGTATATATATATTTTGGTATAATAGTGTATGTGTATTTTGGTATTCTGTTAAATGCGTTTGTATTTTTTTTGTGTTAGTATATGTGTGTGTGTATATTTTTGATATATTAGTGTGTGTTTTTTGATATATTAGTGTGCATATTTTTTGTTGTGTATTAGCATGTGTTTCATTGTGTATTATTATGTTTTTATAGTAAGAGTTTTAATTATTTTATAGGTTAATGAGTTTAACCCAATCCATTATAATTCAACCCATCATTTTGAATCAATCCAACCCACTGATTTTCCACATCTAGGCCTAAGGTAGCTTAACATAATAGCACATAGGACATAAGGGACTGATTTTGTAACTAAAAAGGGCAACTACTAGTCCACAAGACTTCTGTTGCTATAAAATCAAAAAAAAGATTAAATATATGTAAAATCTTACCCAGACTTGGAGATTATTTTCGTATCTTGAATTCTTACTCCTAATTTACAATGAAACAACATTATCCTTTGTATCAAAGCCCACCCATGATTCATATTGTACCTGAATAATCTCACCCTTTTCCCTTTTCTGCCAATTGCACAGCAGAAGCAACAATGCTGCTAGAACCAGCTTCCTTACCATGAGCTTCTCTGTAGCATTCATTCTACTAAGTTGCACTGAATTGCACCATGAATCGAAGGTTTTAATGTCATCTTGCACCTCAGAGTATCTTTTTGCCTGGTACTTAACGCAACACAGGGCTTGAAACTGATAATGGGTCGTGTCATTCTAGTTCATATCGTATATCCATTTTGCTTAGTCAAATTAGTATTGTGTTTAGGGGAGTTTGTGCTCGTTTATTAAATGGGCATAATAAGTCTCCCATAGATTATCTAAACCCAATAAAACTAAGTTGAACTCGTTAATTCCGTATCAACTGTGTATTGTGCGTGTGTCATTGTGTGAAAAATTGAAAGCGTTAAATTCTGTCACCTAGACCCCCGGGCTAGTATCTGACGAACAGCAAGCGTCTCCTACTTTGGCTAGTAGAGTTAAATTCTATCCTATTTTCTTATACTACATATTACACAAGCAACAAACAAAATTACTCCAATCAAATAGGAGCAAAGGCAGGATTAAGATATGAAAACAATAAGGCGCATTGATTACAATATAGGAACAGTATCAAGCAATGCATATGAAATTGCTAGATAGAAAAGAAGAAAAAAGTTGAACATGAGGAGATATCGGGACAAGAACGATATTGAGGCGACTAGGAACCATGACTCGAACTACTCATCCGTTGAGACTCATGTCTTACCAAAAAAAAAATGTTATTGATCTCAGAATTGATCTCAGAACCACAAGTGTTGAGTTGAAGACGGCTCAGCCGAGTCATATGGTCATTGGTTAATACCTAGAACCATGTTATCAAGGTAGAATTTCATTACATATATCTCGGTTTTTCATAAACTTAAACTAAGAAGGAGAAGGGTATTCCACAACACCAAACAGCCTCTACTTAGATGTCTCAATCAGAAAAATATACAAAACATGTTCAACCCACCTTAATAAAAGTAACTAATAGAAGTGTTTCAAAAAGTCAAGAGAACAAAATTGTAGAAATGTTTTGCCGCATTGTTTGGTGGAAAACCCCACTCAAAGCATAAGCAGAAAACCATAAATATGATCAACAGAGAAAAACTGAACAAAAAAAAGGTAAATTTCTAGAAGATATATGATCATCAAAGACACAACAACTTCAAATTTTATTAAAAAAAATAAAATCTGGGTGGCATTTGTAGTTCTTTCGAGGGAAGTGATGATGATCAAAACCAAAGAATACTAAATGGAGGAGTTGTTCTTCAGACATATACTAATTTCAGCTAAAGACTTAGGAAAATCCAAAAAAATATAGAAAAATAATTTCACAAGAACAAAACATTGGACCTTCTCATTGTTATATTAGGATTATAAATAGTTGATGACACTAACTAGCAAAGAACAAGTTAATAAGACAAGCATGGATGTTTTGGTTCTGCCTGTCCTTTGTAGTGCTAATTTGGAATAAAATAAAAAAGAATGTTAAGGTTCAATGGCAACGTTCACGGTACACAATCGGGTTGTCCAAGTCGTTACAGATTGCCCTGCAAGCCACGGAGAAGAGCCCTCTCTCTCACAGCATCTACATCACAAGGGACAGAAGCTTTTGGAGAGCAAAACTTCAAGGAACCAAATGCATCTTCTATATAAAGATCTATATCTCAAAATGAATGTACTTCCACATTCAGTAGTGAGAAAATCATAGTTATCACCATTCAACTAGCACATGATGGCTTCATCACTTGAAACAAAATTCATTGCTGCAGCATTGATAATACTCGGGATGTGGGCTTCTCAGGCTGCATCCCGCACACTACCTGAAGCATCCATCTCAGAGAGACATGAGCAATGGATGGCTCGCTATGGACGTGTTTACACGAACAATGCAGAGAAGGAAAGACGTCTCATGATATTCAAGGAGAACGTGGAGTTCATAGAATCTTTCAACAGCGCTGGGAATCGACCTTACAAGTTGAGCAACAACGAATTTGCAGACCAGACAAATGAGGAGTTTAAAGCCTCTCGCAATGGACTCAAGATGCCATCCAATCGAAAGTCACTGAAAACTACTTCATTTAAGTATGAAAATGTAACTGCAGTACCAACTAGCATGGACTGGAGGAAGAAAGGAGCTGTTACCCCTATTAAGGATCAAGGTCAATGTGGTAAGGAATACCTCTTTTCTCAACTTACTCTGCAAATACCATTTTCAAATACATATATAGTTTTTCTTACTTACAGAAACAGTCTTTCCATATACGTGGTGAAACTGACTATAGTTGACCATTCCTATATTACGCATTGGCTTTCCATATAATTTTTTCTCACTACTACTCTTTATGAACAGGAAGTTGTTGGGCGTTTTCAACCATAGCAGCCACGGAAGGAATAACCAAACTTACCACTGGTAAATTGATCTCACTGTCCGAGCAGGAGCTAGTGGACTGTGACATAGGCGGTGAAGATGCAGGATGTGAGGGTGGTTTAATGGAAGATG